TTAATGTGTTAGTATTGGATATTACTATTACTGTATTAGATATTACACTGTTATATCTAATTTGTTAGTATTGAATATTACTATTACTGTATCAGATATTACAGTCTGTTATATTTAATGGGTTAGTATTGGATATTACAATTACTGTATTAGATATTACAGTCAGTTATATTTAATGTGTTAGTATTGGATATTACTATTACTGTATTAGATATTACACTGTTATATCTAATTTGTTAGTATTGAATATTACTATTACTGTATCAGATATTACAGTCTGTTATATTTAATGGGTTAGTATTGGATATTACTAGTACTGTATCAGATATTACAGTCTGTTATTTTTTATGGGTTAGTATTGGATATTACAATTACTGTATTAGATATTACAGTCTGTTATATTTAATGGGTTAGTATTGGATATTACAATTACTGTATTAGATATTACAGTCTGTTATATTCAATGTGTTAGTATTGGATATTACTATTACTGTATTAGATATTACACTGTTATATCTAATTTGTTAGTATTGGATATTACTATTACTGTATTAGATATTACAGTCTGTTATTTTTAATGGGTTAGTATTGGATATTACAATTACTGTATTAGATATTACAGTCTGTTATTTTTAATGGGTTAGTATTGGATATTACCATTACTGTATTAGATATTACAGTCTGTTATATTTAATAGGTTAGTATTGGGTATTACTAGTACTGCACCAGATGTTAAAGTCTGTTATATTTAATTTCTTCTCATATTTTCATATTCTTTTGCATCTCCAGAATTATGTTGATTGTTATCATTAACTTCAGGACGAGTATTTAAATCTTCATATGTTCTATCTGTAAGGAAGAAAAGAAGCGTGCATAGTAAATAATAATTTAGAATCTAAATTACATTATTTGGCCTTTACATTCGGCGATCCTCGGCTGTTTCCGCCGTAAAGCTGAAGAGCGCTATTAGAACTTGCACGATGGACCGTCTTGGGTATAGTATTGATAGTCATTCTGAATGTGTAAATTTTGATAAATTCATGATAATATGTGATAATTTACCTTCAGGATTTCTATTAGAAAACGTTGCATAACTGAAAAGTAAGAATATGTCATAAGTAAAATGAGCAAATATGTTTTTATCAGTTTTGACCACAACTTATCTACATTTAGCAAACATTATTTGTGTGAAAAGACTTTATGATCGTTACTATATAATGACTTTAATGTCGACAAGCGCATCATCATCACCATAGTTTTACAGATTGAAAATGTTTATTTCTCTATTGTAGGTCTATTGAATAGAAGTTTCAGATCCGGAAAGAAAATATAACTCACCTTTCGTTTGGTAATTTCTTATTGGCTACAAAATAAAATAATATAATGAAAGCAGTGACAGAATGTGTTATATTAACTCAATTTCAACTATCATAAATACTCTTCAGTAAATGAAATAGGACACCCGACTCACTTACAATTAAATAAAACGTTCATGAGAAGTTTAAACATTTTTCGCATTCGTGGAAATAATGACATTGACATTGTAGTATTACTAATCAAGCTCTGATATCTGTAAATTGCACGTGAGAATGAAAATGGTTGTCAAATTCTCACAGAATGCTACTGAAATTGACTTGATCTCTTTAATGTTATGATGGAATAATCCTCAAAATAATTTCATATAGTTCTTTTTTAAAGATCCCCCAAATATTCACGATAAGTACAGTATAACCAATACCTGGATAATGTTTTCTATATATAAATATGGTCAGTAAAACCAGAATTACAATAACAGCAGATATTCCAATACCAATTCCAATACCAGTTCCTAAAACCTCCTGATATCCAGGTTGTTCATTAGGATCCGCCTTTGTTATAGGATCTGTGGAAACAAAGAAATTTATCCATTTTAAAAACTTCTTCGAAAATCTAGTAAGTTAGTACTGATATTCTAGACTGAATTGCATCTATTGTCTATTGCATGGTAGACCATTCAGGATAAGAAAAACTAAGACGGAAAATTTAATTCCATCCAATCTTGAATTTAACTATTTAGGAACTTACCTCCATCAATAATCTTTATAGTGTAACTTTTATCATCACCTATACCATTATTAACAGTAACAATGTAGTTACCAAATGATGATTGTTGTATTGTGACTGTTAAACTTGAACTATAATTATTGATAGCTAGTTGTTGAGTTGTATCTGGTGTTAATTCTTGTCCTGTTGATTCTTGTATCCATTTAAAACTAGGTTTAGGATAGGCTATAACATCAATAAGTAATGTAACTTCTTCACCTAATCTATTCATTACTTCATCTTTTAAATCACCATTAATTCTTGGTGAACCTAAAACAAAACTTTGTAGTATCAATTAAATTACTGAACATTATACTTTCATCTAATATTTAATGTTAAAGATTTAGTAGTTGATTGACCAATACTATTCTTAGCTGTACATGTATAGATTATTGAATACTGACTAAATATAAACTTACATCTAATACTTAATGGTAAAGATTTAGTAGTTGTCTGACCAATACCATTATTAGTTGTACATGTATAGATTGCTGACTAAATATAGACTTACATCTAATACTTAATGGTAAAGATTTAGTAGTTGATTGACCAATACCATTATTAGCTGTACATGTATAGATTGCTGACTAAATATAGACTTACATCTGCTATTTAATGGTAATTTAGTAGTTGATTGACCAATACCATTATTAGTTGTACATGTATAGATTATAGTATACTGACTAAATATAGACTTACATCTGATATTTAATGGTAATTTAGAAGTTGATTGACCAATACCATTATTAGCTGTACATGTATAGATTCCTGTATCCTGACATTTAGCTTGAGTTAATGTCCACTGTTGACCAATGTTAGTATCAGTACTAGTAGAAGATGACCAGGTTATAGTAGATACCGGTTTACTATTAACATTACAGTTAAACATAACATCAGAACCTTCATCACCTTCGTCAGTTACGGCATCAGATGTCATACTGGTTATTTCAGGTTGATCTGAAACAGAAGTAAAGCCATTAATCCTCTTTAACACAATCATAATTTTTTACGCCCATGCAGCAAACAATGCTGTCCTCACATTTTCCGTTAGTCTGTTTATATCCAACTGAATATATCTGGAGGATCTGAAACACAAAAAACCCTTTTACAAAGAACAATCAGGTGTCCTTTATGTCACACAATTTGTAGGAGTATATTGTCTTCACATTTTTCGTTGGTCTGTTCATATCCAGCCATTTAACAGACTGGTGTGGTCATGATTGTAACTAATTCTGTGATATACTTACAATGTACATTAACTTGTATAAATTTAGATCTTGTTTTAGAGATGGTATTTTTAATATTGGTAGCTTCACATCTATAGTTTCCTTCCTGATTTCTTTTTATTCCAGTCAATACAAGATCTTTACTTGATGATGAAACTGGTCCAGTCCATTTATAATTACATACATAACAATCAGTTAAACATGCTATAGTTTGATTTCTACCTTCTGTTATATTGATACGTGTTACATCTAGTGAGAAAGTAAGTTCATCGGGCCCATCTGTAATTATAACCATCAGTAAAGCATGTTATAGTCTGATCTCTACCTTCTGTTATAGTATTTATTTATTTATAAAAAAAAAAACCTTAGTTGTTTTGTAAGTTGTTTAATGCGGTATGTTTAACTGTACAGTTATAAGAACAAGTTTGTTGTCTAGTTTTTATTAATATAGTATTATATACTTACAATAAATCTGAACATTAAGTTGTTTTGTAAGTTGTTTATTTAATACAGTATGTCTAACTGTACAGGTATAAGAACCAGTTTGTTGTCTAGTTTTTATTAATAAAGTATTATATACTTACAATAAATCTGAGCATTAAGTTGTTTTGTAAGTTGTTTATTTAATACAGTATGTTTAACTGTACAGTTATAAGAACCAGTTTGATCTCTAGCGCTAAGTGATAAAGGGGAATTTAGGATTTTTGTTGAACCATCTTTAGACCAGGTGATGTTACAATCTGGTTTACAATCAGCTAAACAGTTGACACTCTGAGTCTTTCCTTCTATAACATCTATGTTATCACTAGTAGGGTTAAATCTTATTTTCGCTGGACCATCTGTAAAAATCATGTAATTATGTTGTGCAAATCCCTTTTCAGAATGATAATCCGAATGGTTTGTCTACATTTCAATAAAAACAGAACTACAAGTATCTGAATCTGGGGGTAGCATCATCAATTTTTAAATGTGAAGACGTTATTACTTATACTATATTAATGAAGATGTATTTTCCTATGGCATTATGATACGTATTCCTTCATTTGTAGGCTTCACTGGACATTTCAATCAAAAAAATTAACATTATTTTGTGCGACAAGATCTAAATTTGTATCAAACTTTCACAAGTAAAGTAAAAACAACATTTGTTGTACGAATTTTAAATTAATTGTCTATTTAGGAATTAATTAAGAAATTTTAATGATTTGAAATAGATTGCGATGAAAATAAACTTACAATAAACTGTTACAGTAGTTGACCCTTGTCCACCAGAATTACCTCTACAAGACCATGTTGTATCATCCTGTTTATTTATATTACTTATATTGAGATATAGTGTTTTGTTGTTATTATTGATACATCCACATTTATATCTATTATCTGTTGAACTACTCCCACAGTTTATCATATTACATACAGCAATATTGTTTCTACGGAACTCTACACTAGAAGGTGAATCTGTAACATCACATTGTAATGTATACTTTTCACCTAACACTGCATAACTTTCAGGAACTCCTATTATAGTATATTGACCTGTAATATAAACAATATGATAATTAAACAACTTCTAATTATTGTTACCTTTCACTTTGTTCATACCTTTTGTATTAAATTATCAGCTTACTAAATTATATTTGGTACAATATTTCAATCTTCTATTATTTACATTAGTTTAGATATATAGAGCTTGTCAAAGAGAAGTCTATCAAATGATTTTATCACTGTGAGTATAAAGAGTACGAAAAGTATATATGGTTGAAATATTTTGAAGGTAAAAGTCAAATCTATCGTAAAGGAATGTAAAAGTGTAAATTCACAGTACGATTCATGATGCTATCTCTTTATCTTATTATATATGCACTTAGTCCAGGTTAAAGTGTAATATTTACTATTATTGTTGTGTTATTTCATTCTACATAAAGACTTTTCTTATACATGAAACTGGTCTTATAGATGTATTATATAAGAAAATATACAATGTAAATACATCTCTTACCTGTAATTAGTACTGGTAAATAAACTAAAACTATTACTATCAATATATATTTAAACTCCATGTTATTGAATAATATTCAACATGACGATCTTATCTTGTCATATATTTGGACTACTTGTGTATAGCGTTTTATTGTAAGGCTCAAATTTACTTCCTCTTTTTAACATGAAAACTCCTATATCATGTTATATATTATTGTTTAACCTGTTTTAACCTAAATACATGGTACAATATTTTAGCAATACCTAGATGGTATCACGTCAGAGAGAGTTCTCTTCAGAAACACTGGAATCTCTGTTACCAACTTTTTTGACCCCCTGTACCTCAATACCTTGATATGCTATATATTATTGTTTAACATGACCTAGATAAATACTACTGTATTTTAGCAGTGTTTAGATGGTAATCGCGTCAGAAAGAGTTCTCTTGAGAAACTGGATTCTCGGTTACAAACTTTTTAGACACACTGTACCCCGATAAATTATATTATATATTATCTCCTGGTATCTTTACTACAGAATAACCCAAGAGCTCAACAACAGAGTACAGTCGTTAATTCAAGACACCTACCAAAATCCGAAAATTGCTTGGTAAATTTGACAAAAGGTTTTGTTATCACTAAAATATTCTGTTAAAATAGGTTTTGCGTGTACTTCTCTGGTGCCCCTAAGGTGCTTATAGCCTGGCTACATCAAAGGTTTAACAACACAAAAAGCCCGAAAGATCACCTTCCGGTGCCACCATCCCATTAAGCGGTTGAACAGAGCCCACCATCAGCACGTAGATTGTTATCTTCCGTTCGACCTTCGATTAGATAGAAAGCTCACAATGTGCGTTTAACCTGATAAAACCAACAACGCATTAATGGACTATGGAATTTTTTTTGTGCCACTACAATTCTTATTTCTGATTTGTTCTGTTTATTTTGATTGGCAGACCTCACTCAAATAATAAATAAAGTTGTCTCGCATTATAAAGAAACAATTGAATGTGGTTTAATCTTTATTATCATGTAGATAATTTTGCACGTCGGGGTATAATTTGAACCATTAACGACAAGTCTACTTTATTTTGGGGTAGAATAAATAGATACTACAAAAGGCAGACTTACAGACTTAGTGTGTCCATAACTACTTACACTA